AAGAGCTTTTTGCGGTGGAGAAAGGAGAATCTATGTTCAAGTTTGTTTGTTTGTAATTTTTAAAACTTTAAGGGTGTTTTCTATAAATTATAAATTATGGAGGGGATATTTGTAACTTCTATATTTTTAATGTACTGTTAGATTAAAATATATAAGTATTTTTATAATTTTTATAATCTTGACAGTTTTATCTTGCAATTTGTAAAAAGTTTAAAGTGTTTATTACAAATTCCATAAAATTTTGGGGTTGTTTGTGTTATTTGTAGGTTTTTAGTGTGTTTGTAGGTTTGAAATTTTCAAGGTGTCTTTTACAAATTTTGAATTTTTTAGGAGTGTTTTTGCATTTTTAGAACTTACAAGATACTTTCTCCAATGTCAAAAACTTTTATTTTTTAGCTAGCATATATTTTTTGTATTTTTTAGAACTTGCACGATACTTTCTCCAATGTCAAATTTTTTTATTTTTTAGCTAGCATATATTTTTTTAGATTTCTCACTGAATTGAAATAAATAAAACTTATAATTTTCAAGATGTTTTAATAAAATTTTGAATTTGTAGGGGTGTTTTTATAATTTTAAAAACTTAGAGGATATTTTTTATAAGGTCTAAAAACTTTTAGGTGCTGGCTAACATATATTTTTTAGATTTCTCTATAAAATAAAATAAGCAAAAGATTTAAATTATATCAAATGTATCTTATTTATTCAATAACATGTTAAGTCTCATTATGGATATGATAAATTATTTAATTATAAATTCAAAAAAGATAGAAAAATTAGAATAGATTAGGATAACAACATAATATTTTAAAAAGTTAAGGGGAATATTGACCATAAAAAGATTTTTTCCAACTCATACTTTTAAAAAGAGTATGATTTATCTAATAACATATTAAGTCTCATTATATATAGGATAAATCATTTAATTATAAATTCAAAGAAAATAGGAAAATTAGAATAAATTAGGATAGCAATATAATATTTACAAAAAAGTTAAGGGTAATATTAACCATGAAAAGATTTTTCCGAACTCATACTTTTAAAAGGAGTATGGTATATTCAGTGGGTTTTGCATTGAAAAATAAAATTTACGAGTTAAAAATCCTGATTTTCATCAAATATATTGTTTATTTGACATTGTTCATGCCACAAATTTAAATATGTCGTGTAGAATAGATGAATTAAATGTGATTTCCTAAAATTATGTTGATTTTTCCTGAATTTGTGATTTTAGTCACATATCCTCAATAAAAAAAATCATGTGCAACTAAAACAAAGTTCGTCTAGATTTCATCCCCATGCAAATAGTCTTTTAATACTCATTGCAAACAAAGATTTTGAATATGAAAATTTCAAAATTCCTTTCATGGACCAAAATGCAATTTGCAAATCAAAGTTTCCTCTAAGAAGATATTATATTATTTGTTACATTTAAATTTAGTTTCAATAGATAAGTTAAATATGATATTATACTATTCAGGACTTTCCTATATTAGATGTTTCCTTTTCTGGTAAGAGTTTTCCTTTCATGTTGTTAGAGTATATTAGAAGACATGCTAACAATATTTTGAGTGTATCTTTCCATCAATCCCCGTCATAACTTCAAAATGTTGGTGTTTGGTGGAAAATTTATAAGAAGATAATGAAAGAATTGAATGTTTTATTCTCTCAATCTTGATTATAATTTGGATTTCCCAATTTATAAAAGAGAATAGAATTGATCTGGATTCTCCTGTTTTTTTTAATTCTGGGTTCTTCACGGTGGCGATGGAGTGCTTCCCTTGAATGCTCACGTCTAGTTTGCTCTTTGTTGACGATCCGAACGTCTTGATTCGCTGGAATGATATCTTCTCCTCACGATTTAATGATGTGAAGAACTTGCAAAGCAAGTTTAAAACTCCGAACGAGTTGATAACTCAGAGCGAGTTTAAACTCTTGAAAAAGAGTTAATTTAAACCGAAAAATCGGTTAATAAGCCAAGGGAATGCTCCAAGAACTTTGTTGCTGCAAGAAGCTCAAAGATGATCTGCTGCAAGAAGCTCGAAGATGATCCGAAGAAGTCGATCTCTAGATCTCCAAGATACCCCAAGATCCTAAAGATAGATCCGAACTCAGTTGGGTTTTCTCCTTTTTATAAAGGATTAAGGGGTGTAACTGCCCCCTTAATTCGCTCCTAAGTGGGGCTGAATGGGGTGTAACCGCCCCCTTAAACAGCTCCCTAAATCGTGGGGGAAAACGATTTTGAAACCGTTCAGTTCGTGCTTTGAACGAGTCAAACGCTAAAAAATAGTGCTCATGGCCCGAACTCTGCGTTTTAGACTTAAAACGCAGAGATTGGGCCTATTTTGGTGGCTGAACGCATAGGTCACGCTGTGTTATAAACCTAAAACGCAGAGTTGAAACGCAGAGATGAACTCTGTGTTTTGTACCTGGGACGCAGAGTTGGCTCTGCATGAACTCTGCGTTTTGAGTCCACGAACTCTGTGTCTGGACTTGAATGCTGGGGATGGCCTTTACGTTTTCAACTAGAATGCTGGGCATAGCCTCTGCGTTTTGACTCTGAAACGTGGGTATGACCTCTGCGTTTTGATGTTATAACACAGGGATGACCTTTGCGTTTTGATGGTGAAACGCAGGGATGACCTCTGCGTTTTGATGTGAAGAGACCATCATTTTGTGGTCTCTTTTGCTAGAGCGTTGCAAAGACCGTCATCTTGTAATCTTCATCTTGGCTCCTTAAAAATATGAGAGTCGTCAGATTATAATTCCCGATGTTGATTGTGAAGGCTATTGAACTAGAGCTTTCATCGGCTGTTGTGAAGGTTATCAGATTGTAACTTTCATCGATCTACGTGAAAGTCTTCAAATTACAGCATTCTGGAAATTGTCAGATTTTAACTTTTATCATCGGTGTTTGATGGGGGATCAGCTATCTGCAGTGATTTTTAGACAACCTACAGTTGGTGCATTAACATTGTGACACATGTAGACCGTGAAAGAAACCATGAAACGAGTTGAATCGAATCGAATATTAAGGTGTTTGTATGTATATTTGTTTAAAATTTTTAAATTTGAATCTGAATCAGGATATCCATTTCTAGAGTTTTTCTAATTCGAACTCGAATACTCTACATTATAAATATTCATAAATAGTTATTGAATATTAATGTATAACTCATTTTGCTAAAAAAAATCATTTTCAAATAGTATTAAATTTACAATTATAAATTATTTCTTTATAATTATGACATATCTATATTTAATTAGAATATTTTGTTAGAAAATTGACTTAAGAATCACTTAAGTCTCTCAAAATCAGTATATAGAACTAAAATGGAAAATGTAAGCTAGTTGAAAATATAATATCATGTATGTAATAGTAAAAACGATAAGCGATTAAGTTATAAATGAATATTTAATAAGCAAACGAATCAAATATACATCTGATTAAATTTTATTCTCTTATGAACTCAAATACTAAAAACTATTCGTTTAATATTAAATGAACTATCAAATAAAAATCATTGAATAGTTTCTCAAACAATTAATGAATTATTTATTAATTATTTAGTTTGTTCCCACCCGTATGAGAAAGGAAGGTAAGATAAAGTGAGGTGCAATAAGACAAACGGAAGGACATACCTTTTATGTTTCCTGTTTGGTTCGAGGAGGGTAGGGGGAGACATATAACTTTTTCTTGTTTCGTTTAAGGAATGGGAAGAGAAGGTGAGATGATGAGTTAGTAAAGTACAAGAATACTCTTTTGTATGATAGAGCAATACCCTTCTATGAGTTGTTTTTCAACTTCCTCTAACTTGCAATTTGTATGATAGAGTAATAAAGTCAGCATTCAAATTTATAAAATTAATTATATTCTAATGAAAATTTTGATCTAATGAAGCAATAATGTGAAGAAGAAATTACCTGAGAAATGGGAGTGGAGAGAGAGGGGCAACTTATATGGAGGACTTGAGTTGGCTTAGAAGCAAAAACTGGTCTTCGAATGAGAAAACTCATTGAATTTTTTATCGCCACTTTGTTTTTCATCTTTAGATGAATAATTTGATTGCTACTTTATTTTTGTTGAGAGAACTGTGAAAGAAGTGAGATAGATAAGTCAGGGTTTCGATAAAGAATAATATAATTAATTAGGTAATTATGAAATATATGTGAGGATAAAAGAGTAATTTTAAGACGAATCTTATCAATTCCTCCCTTCCTCCATGTCCCTCCAAATAGAAGAGTTTTTCTCTCTACTCACATCTAGGGTTTTCTTGGCAATCTCTCAAACCTGGGCCAGGTTCAAACTTGGCCCAGTTTTGAAAGATTTTTGTTTGACAAACAACAGGCCCAGATCTGGCTCTGTTTTCATAGGCCAAATAGTGGCCTTAAACTGGTTTTTATTTGGACCAGTGAGGTGCTGGTCCAAATGAAAACTAGTTTAGCACAAAACTGAGTCAGGACTGGTCGTGACCTAATGAGTTTGCCAAACTGACCCCTAAGTTTTTATTTTGTCTTTCTCTCTGTTTACCTTACTTTACCTCACTTTCACTTCTAAAACTCTCCTGTCAAGGATATTTGACTCTATCCCTTATTTTATTCTACTTCCTCTCCTATTAAACCAAGCCTAAATTTCCTGAGCAAATAAAATTTCAGAATTAATTTCACTGCAAAATTTACTTTACCATATTTAGTCATCATAGTTAACATTATTCAACATTTGTTGAAAACTTCATTACAGTCCGAGTCCATTTGAGCCCTTGAAGTTAATTCAAGAGGTCAACTTAATTTGCACCTCAAGTACGCATGCTAATGGGCCCTCATGTGGACAATCTCTATCTCAACCTCGATATTGCTAATTGCCTATAAAAACCACCCATCTCCTTCTCTTCTCTCACCATTAGCACAGAGCGGGGCGGAAAAAGAAAAAAGAAAAAAGAAAAAAGAAAAAAGAAAAAAGAAAATAAAACTAGCAAGAGAGTGAGTTACGAAGAGATAAGATGGAGGCCTCAAATGGAGGATATGCTAATGGAAGCGGGCATCAACACGTCTACCCAAATGGCGACTCCTATGGATCCCTAATCAACTCCCACGAAACCTCTGGCAAAATCATCACTTGCAAAGGTACAAATTATATATTATCCTCCTATAAAATCTAATTTATTTATAGTTTTACGGGTACTACGTATATATCAAGTAAATTGATTTTTATTGCAGCGCGGTTGTTTGGGGTCCGGGCGAGCCCTTTGTGATCCAAGAGGTGCAAGTCGACCCGCCTAAAGCGATGGAGGTCCGAGTCAGGATCCTCTTCACCTCCATCTGTCACACTGATCTCAGTGCTTGGCTCGGTCAGGTAGTATACATATAATCACTGTGAGTTACTTTTGGTCCCCTCTGTCAAAATTGTAACTGATGAATGGCCTCTACCCTTTGAAAGTGTGAAGCCCAGCGCGCATATCCTCGGATTCTAGGCCACGAGGCCAGCGGGTAAGCAAATATTTTGTTCTCCTAAACGTATATAATTTAATTTCACATAATTTCCGAAACAAAAAGCTATATATGCAAGCTATAAAGAGCTCAGCAACACCGAAACTCTGAAGTATGTCATATTCTAGCATGTTATGATATAAGCTGAACATGATTTTCAAGGACGGTACTCGTGTAATGATATATTTTTAAGATTCGGATTAAATATGTGACTGACGAGATCTGGATATGTATTATTCTAATGTCATTTCAAAATCTCTTACATAAACAGCACCGGAATTTTTGATGAGCATCGGCGGTTCTTCCTAAATAAAAGGATCTAAGAAAAGGAAACATATTTTAAAAGGAAAGTATTGAATATAAGGAACATGCTATAGTTTTGACACCCTCCAATAGTTATAGTTTTGGATCTTTTCGTTACATCAAAAAGAAAAGTTTCGGATCTTTTTTAATCTATACGCCTCTCAAATCATATCATATTGTTATATTCACCCTCAAAATATTCGTACTTATCAATTTAACCCTCTAATACTTTTTACCCCACTACCGATAGTTCGTCAATTTCATGAATACAGAATAGTGGAGAGCGTGGGTGAAGGAGTAGAGGATCTTAAAGAGGGAGACAGCGTGGTGCCGATATTCAACGGGGAGTGCCAAAACTGTGCTTACTGCAGGTCAGGGAAAACAAACTTGTGCGGAGAATTCAGGGTGAACCCTTTCTCGAGCGTTATGAAGCGCGACGGCAAGACGAGGTTTTTCGCGACGGATGGTAACGGAGAGCGCAGACCAATACATCATTTCCTCAACACTTCGACGTTTACCGAGTATACGGTGCTCGACTCGGCATGTTGTGTGAAGATTGACAGCAGAGCTCCGCTGAATAGGATGTGCTTGCTCAGCTGTGGGGTCTCTACAGGTTGTTTTTTTTTTTTTTTAATTTTTTTTGTTTTTGTCAATACTGGTCCCTTAATTCTTTAATGCTTCGAGTTATTAGTTCCTCAAATCTTATTGGCTATTTCAAATTAGTCCATCAGTTAGTTATTTTGTCTAAATCGCTAACCTAGATCGGGTTAGTTGTTAACTGCGCGTGGTAAGTTTCATTTTGGCCCTCAGTTAGTCCAAAGATTTTTACCAAACGGGTCTGCGAACAGTCAGATTAATTTATCGTATTCATCTTAATTAATGTATACGTACAAGCTTGTGTTATATATATCTCTTGAATTTGATTTTTATTAAGTCTAATGTATAATCTAGTAGTTATTTCAAACAAGGAAAAAGGTGCATTTTTTCTTATGATTTATTGTATTAACCTCCCATATCACCACATACATAATAAAAAAAGTAATCTTAACTTTAAAAAAAATGAGATTAACTTTTAATGTCACATTTAAAAAATTTAAATTTTTGGATAACAAAATCAAATAATTTTGAGAGGGGGGCAAAAAAACGGTGCTGCCTTTAACTTCTCATTTAGTTCTAATTCCATGTTTTGTCGGCTCAATTAGCTGCGAGGGAGACAGAGCTGCAGTGCAGGGGATCATGAGATTCATCACTGACTAAGTTTTGGCTGTAGGAGCTAGTTGTTTAGGACCACGCAATTAAAGTTTTCCAACATAAATGACCCACAACTTGATACAGTTGACGTGGTCCCTGTTTTCTAACAAAAATGTAAACAAAATATTACTATTTTGGAAAAAATATACACAAGTAACTACTTGTTTGTCAATTGTCATTCAAGAATCCAGCAATCCCCATGCCTTTCTTTACCCCCAAAATAATAATAATAATAATATCCGAGTTCTAAATACAAAAGTTCAAGATTGACGTGCATATAATTATTTGCACTTGAACTTTTGATTTGCTTATTAATCAAACTAGTTTGCGGTGTTTTTTTTTGCTACAGTAATCCTATTTTTTTTTAATATGCATGATTTGAATTTTTGGAAGTACTATAGTATCCCGCTCTGCTACAGTACCTTTTAAATGTTACAGTATACCCGTGTGCTACAGTATCATTTTTTAATTAATTATTAGCTACAGTAATCATGCTACAGCAAATGCTACTGCAGCATTTACTGTAGCATGAACAGTGAATCTCTGATCCTCCTATTTATATAAAGGAATAGATAAGACACAGCTTCCAATCTTCTATTGGAGATGACAAAGACTAATTTTGCATATATAATCAGATTTTCCCCATAATAATTCTTATTTTGTTTTTGAATTTGACGTAGGAGTCGGAGCTGCATGGAACACCGCAAACGTGCAGAAAGGCTCCACAGTTGCAATCTTCGGTCTTGGTTCTATTGGTCTCGCGGTAAGATGTACTCTATCTCTGCCCTCTTCTAGCTCTTTAGAGCGAAAGAGGTCAAGCAATTTAGAAAAGTAATAAGTGATATATTGTCTGTGCATCAAAATAATTTTCATGTATATATAAAGTTAATTACTTGGTCACGTTATGAGCATGAAACAATTCTTTTGTCGACTATTTGATATATGTAACCAAGAGTCCAAAAAAAATGTCTACTTCATGAGTTTGTTCTATTGAAATAAAAAATAAAACTGAAGTTTGTCAGTCGTCCACTTGGATCTAAATGGAATGGTTCCTAATGTGCAGGTTGCGGAAGGAGCGAGGCTGCGAGGAGCTTCCAAAATTATTGGAGTAGACATCAATCCGCAGAAATTTGTCAAAGGTACGATAGCAAGCAGTTATTTCGAAAAAAAGACTAATAGCTAAAATAACATAAGAAGAAATTGGAAAGTGACACGTATCTCACTATTTATGTTACATTGACGTTTATGTGGACCTTTATGTTATTTACACCCAGTTTATTTTCACTGAATTTATTCTCCGATTGTACTAGTTTTTCATTTATTGATATACTTTATTTTAAATCGATAGTAATAATTCAGGGATTTATCCGGTAACTCTTTAAAATGGATCAGGAGTGATCCTACCTTGATTAGTTAGGACGCGTTTGGTTGTCTCTTTTAGAGGGGAAAATGGGTTGAAAGCCCGTCAAAAGTATCGGTTTTGACAGGCTTTCTTGCAAAGAGACGTAACGCCTCTAAAAGAGACGTTTTTGCAAAAAAACCTGCCAAAACCGATACTTTTGACAGACTTTCCGCTTCCCCTTATGCAAACAAACATCCCCTTAGTGATTGTTTTGTGTTTCGTAAATACGGGATCATGATTGGCCCAACTTTTAAGGCTAAATTTCGCCCCTCAAACCAGTTATACTCTAGTGAACATTCTCCTTCTGGTTTGCTTCTACCCCGATCAAGACAAAATCATATCCGCATCAGCCCGGTCCAATTTTCACGGGTTTGCCGAACACACCGTTAGAATTAGAGTTACAGTTACGCAATTTATGGGATATTTTTACATTGACTTCGCTACGCAAATTGACCTAGCTTGTGGCAACAACTTTGAATTTTCTGCGTAGCAAAATGCCAAACGCGGATACGAAGGCACGGTCCGTGTCTGATGAGGGATTTAATTTTCCATACTGTGCAGGGAAGGACATGGGAGTCACTGATTTTGTTAACCCCAAGGATTGTGATAAGCCCGTCCACAAGGTACCTTTCTCATCTGTCACGTGTCCTTGTCATGACGTGCTAGTTTTTCTTAACCAATTAATGGCCATCGCTTAACTTAATTAATCCAAGATGAAGTGAAGAAGATTTGTCTTTTATAGAAAAGTGAGAGGGAAATTTTGTTTTTAGAGAATTAATTGAGAGAGAAATTAATATTTTGTTTTCAGAAGAATCAAGAGAGGAAGGTTTAATACCCCCCCGCGATCGTGACATTTTATCCGTTCAAGCAATAAATATAGTGCCCTCTCAACCTCCTTGAGAACTTCCCCCTCTCCTACCCTTTATACTCACTTTTCAAGTCATTCTATACTTAAATAGTTATATGTTTTTGGTGCTATAGCAACGTATCTTTAAATCAAATCGTTTGAATTAAGATCCTCTTTAATTAGTTGATAATCCAGAAAGGGTCCAATTCTTCTAATCCTCACCTTATATATTTAAATTAAAAGACGAGATAGCACCACATACGATTACCACAATTAACATAGAATTACTACAATTAAACTCTCCACATACGATTATTTAATTTTATTAAATTCAAATATTTCTACAAACAATTTTCTAATTAACCTCTCCAATTAGATGTCAACCAAACAACTCTCTCTCAAATTTAAATTATTTACAATTATTATTTATTTATTTATAATTCTTATATTCATGTGGCAGTTTTTTTTTTTTTTGACAATGCGCGTACAGGAACACTTGGGAACATGATCCGAGCCATTTATTAATGTGTAGAGGAACACTTGTCAGATTTTTTTTAATGTATTTATTTATAAATTTTTTTTATTATGCATGAAAAATTAATTTCTTAATCTTTCTATTTGTTGGTTATTGAATTTGCATAAATCTGACGTGCTAAAAAATTTATTCAATTAAATTAAAAACGTGCAATGCATATAATTAACTTATGATTAGATATAAAGACACTGGGGAACATGATTTTGTTAAAAATTAAATAATATCTACCAGATCTCAATAGTAGTTTTCAAAACCACTAGTTTAATTGTGGTAATCTTAGATTAATTGTGGTAATCTTATGCAGCATTATCTTATCCATTGAATTAGAGATAAATGATGGGGATTAGAGGAATTGGACCCTCTCCACTTACCACCTAATTGGAGAAGATATTGTATCCTTCTACTTCTCTATAATATTAATTATGTTCTTTTTGGTATTATTTTTTATATTAAATAAAAAACTTTATCATGTAAACAAAGAAAAAGAGCATATTATATGGGTTTTTCTATAGAGTGCTCATGGGTACTCTATAAGAGAGGAGAGAGATAGAGAGAAGTGAATTGACCATAGAATTTAGTGTAAATCAGGAAGGACCCATGGGCAATTCATTTCTCTCTATCTCTCTCCACTCTTATAGAGTGCCCATGGGCACTTTATAGAAAAACCATATATATATATATATGAGAGAAATGAGTATGCTTGGTACCAAGCACAAGTTTTTGTGCTTAGTAGTGATGTAACATATTTTCCTCCACTCATTAAAATCGGGGCACACGTTCACATAGATTGGGGAGTGGTTGGGAATTGGAATGAGTGATGAGAATATAACACCTCACTACCAAGCATAAAATTTATGCTTGGTACCAAGCATACTCATTTCTCTCTATATATATATGGAAGGAGGACAATAGCAAGGCTTTTAACTATTATAAAAGGTTATGGATAGGATAAGTTAACAACCCTACTCCCCTGTAATTATTAGGTTACAAGCCTTGTCGTTTCTCCTTATTTTCTCTATTTACGACACAGGACAATATTTAAAGAAAAATTCTTTAAGGACCCAAAATATGGCACCAATAGGGGGGACAAGTTAGGTGTCCCCCTCCTATTGGATAATGAGTTAGCCATCATTAATGATGATCAACTCATTATTCAATAGGAGGGGGACACCTCACTTGTCCCCCCTATTGGTCCCATATTTTGGGTCCCTGTAGCAAAACTCATATTTAAATATTGACAAAGTATTCCACTTTTCTCTACGTATATAAAATTATGGGGAAGAAAAAAAAGTTGTCCACATCAATCTTTTATGTTTAATCTTTCATTAATACATTGTTATCATAACAACTTAGATATCTAAATCTGTTGGAATTAATATAAAACTATAATTTTTATTTATTATCATAACTTTAAAGTATTGATTTGGTTAGAGTGACTTAATTTAAAAATTTCTTTATTAAGTAATAGTAAATAGTACTAATTAATTATTTCTAAGTGCAGGTAATAAGCGAAATGACGAAAGGAGGAGTAGACTTCAGCTTTGAGTGTGCGGGGAACTTGGACGTTCTACGTGAAGCTTTTTCCTCAACCTCTTCTACATGTGCAATTGTGAACTGGTCAACTTTTTTAATTGAGTTGATTGGTCTTATAATTTGCAACGCAACCAAGCTCTGATTTATTGACAGAGCACTAAATTTGACATGGGAAATCTCGTTTTTATGACAGGTATGATCTTAGTTCACAAATAAGTAAATAAATAAACAATAGAAATTTTATAGTACAATAGAATAGAGAATCTTGGTCATTCAACTAGCTTTTTTCTCTAGGATCTTTCGTACAAAGTTGACTATAAAGTCTTTTGATCCAATTTTTATTGGGCCATAAACGATAAATGAAGAAGTTAAGATCGAGAAAGGGAACTAGTTCGATGCACCTATATACAACCATAAATTGGATAATTAAATTAATGACAATCCCGATAAGTTGGCATAATCGCTAGAATTTTTTTAAATCAACGACAATCCAATAAGTTCGCATAATCGGCAAAAAAAAATTCTATAATTTTTAAAGTGACATATGTCTCTCTCTCTCATCCCCTTCGCAAATATTGCCATCGACGTGACGATCATAATTTCTCATTTTTGGAGACTTTGAATAAAACTAATTCTAATTAGATGATAATTTTTTATTTTGCTCTCATAAGACATAAAAATGCAAAATCCTTCCGCCTCTTTAATTATATACATCTTTCGAGTTCTGGTTCTATCAGAATAACCCTCATACGAATAAGAAATCATTGCCTTTTCACAAGCATAATGGGAGGCAGTTTGGAAAATTAGGACCCATTAAGCAGCCAGAACTCCCCACTCCAGAGTTTTGATATAATTCTGTTGACATTTATTTTTCCCTTTCCATCGTCTTATACGAGAAGCACTAGGGACACACCCTCTACCACACTCACAACCACACCACCTCTTTCGTTACAGTGCACGGGGTCCACATGAGATTTTAAAATTAAAATCTCATATGGGCCTCGTGCATTGTAGCGAGAGAGTTGATGTGGTTGGGAGTGTGGTAAAGAGTGTGCTCATATCATTATTTGTCTTATATATATTTGATGCATCGCCAACCGAGTGGGTCCTGTCAACTTTGACAACTACCTGTATGATAGAAGCCCTGTCACCGTTGATATGACGACTAACTTAAATTCATGATTAATTCTTGTCGCTCGGAAACCCTAGTGCTGAGTCTGAAATCTACATCTTCGAAGTTACTTTCACCCATTTCAATTCGGTTAACTATCGCATAATAAAACCTAAACTAGTTTGTACTGTACAAAACTCGACATACTATGTAATTTATTAGTTTTGGGGGAAAAAAAGCAAGAAATGAAATTGAGGATCACGTTAATGAATATGAACAGGGATGGGGCTTAACAGTGATCCTCGGCATCCATCCAAGCCCAAAACTACTCCCTCTGCACCCGATGGAGCTCTTCGACGGCCGAAGGATCGTGGGCTGCGTCTTTGGAGATTTCAAAGGGAAGTCTCAGCTACCCGGCTTTGTAGACAAATGCATGAGCGGGGTACGTACGTAATTAGTAAACAATAGTATAACCTTAATTTGTAATTTACCCTTCAATTTATAAAAACATGATCGGTTATTAATTTCTAAATGATCATCTACATGCAGGAGATCAATATAAATTTTGATGGATTCATAACCCACGAGCTTCCCTTTGCTGAGATCAGCCAAGCTTTCGAACTTCTGCAACAGGGCAAATCACTGCGTTGTCTGCTTCGTATTTAAACACTATCTTACTGCTGGAGGGATAAGCATGCAAGCTCACCAATCAATTATTCTCTAGCAAATATATTAATCAGATAGTAGCAATGAAATAATATATGTTTTTAGGCTCCACATTTGCATTTTCTATACATAATGGACACGCTATTCACGTCGTGTGCTGTACATAATTGTTGTCAGTGTTAATGGGTATGTAATGTGCATGATTATAATAGTAGCACACTATGGACTCTATCAATATACGTACAAACTGAGGATGAAGCTAGCCTTATATTTTTCTTGCGTTGCTTTGTTCAAATGGACGACCGACAGATTCACATGATTGGGTCAGGCTCGGGATCCAGACCCCTCACATAAAAAAAGAAAAGGGTCATTTGGATATATACCCTCATCATGGGTGTCTGCCAAATTACTCTCCAAATCATAATATTTGTCAAATTACCCCTCAATCATCAATTTTGTGAAAAGATGCACCTAAAGTCAACAAATTACCGACTTGATGCTAAAATTTAACTATTATGTTGATAAATTTTATATTGCAAATGCAAATTAGCTGATCAAAGTTTATGATTTGATGATTTGGAGGGATAGTTCAGAAAATTAATATTGAGATTTGGAGAGTATATCTGCAAATATATTCATAATATAAGAGGTATATATGCAAATAATATGATCTTCATATTTTATTTTCATGTATTTATATCTAAATCACATGTTGTCTGTAGATATGTCATGAGAAATATCAATCTTGGATGAATATGTAGCCATTGATCCTTGCTCATTTTAAATGCCTTTTAACTATTTTAATCAAAGAAAAGTGATTAAGGCAAATAATTGTTTCTAGTAATAAGCTAAATATTTATTTATTACAGTTTCCTTTTATCATACCTTGGTAAATATTTATATGAAAGGAAAACAACAGAACAAATGAAGTTTTTATCTATTTAATCATAGTTTCGAAATTAAAACTTATATATACTCTTGTGAATGTACTTTGTAGGGTTTTTTTATTTATATTTACTTGAGTAGTACTGTGACATATTGCTAACTATAACCAAAATTATCTTGACATCAGAAATTCATAGAAAGGAAATAGCGCTCAGCATTTCGAGAAGTTATGTAAACTAGTCACGACTGCCACATTCACAATAAATCATTACATAAGCCAGTTTGAAAAAACCATTGATATCTGGACTGGACTCATCATATCAAACCGAGCTTGATGTTTCTCAGATTCCTATGGGCTTTAAATGGGCTACAGTAGATACATAATAAATCATACATGGGCCACTTTTAGAAAGCCTTTGGTATCTGGACTGGACGCATATTAAACTAAGCTTGATGCTTCTCAGGCTATCATGGGCTGTTATGGGCTACAGTCACCAGGGGTAAATCAAATTCGATAAATTTACTGATGTGAAAAAATAAATTAAAAGATAATAAAGAAATAGAATGAATTTCACATTTTATACTTAAATTTTCATATTGTTTACTGATTGAGTATGCCATTTTTGCGAGTTTTTAGAGAACAATTATTATATTTCTCAGACTATTTAGATATTTTATTTGTCTTTGGATTGTTTGATCTATAACTTCTATTTGAATGCTCTAGTTTTCGAATTTGTTTGAAAAATATTCATCTATTCCACATAATGATAATTTAACCAATTACATATACTATACATCAGAAAGTACTCTTTTGCTTCTTATAACCGATAAATTTACAATTTTGAAGTCGATTCATGCATGCTTTCGTATATGTACATGAGTTACTTAACCCTTAATCTCCAAGAAAACTGCACAAACTAAAATCACACTAAAACTACATCTATTTAGAAAATCTAATTGAGAAAATAATCCATCTTCTATGTATGACAGGTTCTTATCATATTTAATGAACGCTATAACCGATGATGGCAAAATCCTAAAAGAAATGATAGAGGCACACTCTAAGGCACACCACCAACCACACTCCCTCTCTCTCTCTATAGTGCAGGGGGCCCCACATGTGATTTTTTTAAAAAAATCACATGTGGGACCCCCTGCACTATAGAGAGAGAGAGAGAGAGTATGATTGGTGGTGTGCCTTAAAATGTGTCTGTAGCGCCTCTCAAATCCTAAACCTACAAAGCATATACGTTGACCATTGAGGAAAACATCATAGTTGCTCACCTCTCCAACCTCTGAAAAAGCACCGTAGCAACGATCCCATAAATAGTAACGTTGCCAAAAGTAAGGTGGATGGTCGGTGGAAATCAAGATCTTCTGAAGCAAAATAAAAAACAAATCATAAAAAATTATAAACATAAAATATAAGGAGTTCTATGCACTTCCAAGTGAGTTCCACTTCTACGCACTATAACAAAATAATTCAGTCTCTCAGCAGTACACGAAATAAATGATATCTCGTACTTTCTCTCAAATAATTAAGCTCCTGCCCTAGAAAAGTCTTTATCAGTCAAGGCGGATGCTAAGGCATTGTTTGTCGCCCGGACAAAAGTCAGCTCAGAGTTCAACGGACGGATCAAATTCTGACCAAGCTTTGGAGGGTGAAAACCTGGTTTTGGAGGTTAAAAATAATTTTAAATAAGGCCTTATTCTAACTTTAACTTTTACTTTTCTCGGACACAATGTTATGACAAATCTCAGGATAAACTAAAATCAATTACATGAAAGTACGAAAAATATCAGGAACACACGAACACAAATATATAATCGGTTCAGCTTGTAACCTACATCCACGAGTGAAGGAGGAGAATAACTTTACTAAATTGTGAGGAATATAAATGTGAAATTTCTCAATCACTCAATCCTAAATTAATAACACCCTTATAATCTCTCAAAGATGAACAAAAAAGAGCCTTCAATCAACAACCAAGAATTGATCAAAAAAACCCCTTAATAAGGTGTGGGTTTGCTGCATGTATTCCAAAAGAACATTGCCTTTCTCTGCCCACCTCTCTTACTCAGGTTCACTCCCTGCACGTCCAATGATATATTTATAAAGGCACAAGCCTTGTTCATACTTGTAAAGAGATAAAAGACTTCAGCTAATAGAATTATAGAATAAACAAACTCCGCACTTCATAAAAATCCATGTGACTTTGGACTCCTATTAATTGGACTCTTATTAATCTCGAGTAAATAGCCAAGTAGGTCCAGTCCTTATCTCTATCAAGTAGAGATCAATTAGGATTATTATTTGAGTCAACCATAACACACAAAATACACTAAAATTAAATTAGATTCTAATTGTAATGGACTGCCAACAACCCTTAAGTCATATTATTGTGGTGTTTTCAGTCGTCAAAGTATGAACCTTTGTCAGCAACGGACATGTGTCCCCGACACGCACCGCTCAAATCGAATTGATAGTCAGAACCATCAAAAATTCCGACTTATCCGACTCGTCGAGTCTGCATCTCCTTAGGTCGACTTGAAGGGCGATACTTGTCGGTCTTCTTATCGAAGACGACTCGCTACGAACCAATTCGACTAGTTACTCGACACCTCGCGGGGTCGACTCGAAAAATGTTACTTCTCGACACCATTCGCTACAAGCCAAAGGATGACTTCAACCTCGAACCTCTCCCGTTGACAGTACATCGACGTCACATTAAATGATTGGTAGACGCCATCATTTCTCCATCCCCTACACTATTTATGACACCTCTTGTTGGCCTTCTTGTTTTGATGATGTTTAACAAACAATTTACCACTAATGATTGTTTGTCTAGTATTTGTGTTTTCTTATTTATTATAGACAAACAACGTTGTTGGAGGTTGGATGGATTGCGCCATAACGATCATATCCAAAGGAGGTTGGCGGAATGTCGGTGAAGCCTTGCTATTCAAAGTTCAAGATCCAAGTTCAAGCTTCATCCACAAGTGTACCAAGTCAAGCTTAATTGAAGATCAAGATTGCTTGGGTAATGTAGTTTAGGTTTTATATTATGTGTGATAAATACGTTAAGCTCAATTATCTATACACACACATTTTATTGGTTTCCTTGTATATATATGTAGTCATATATATATATACAACACAAGTTTTGGTTTTCATGTTTATAAATATGAAATTACATGTTTCATATTTATTATTGTGATTTGGTTTATCTACATAGATATGAAACAAATATATTTTCATATACATACTCATAAGTTTCATTTTCTATTGTATTTGTGAAAATATTGTATTCTTAGTTTGTAGACTTCAATATCAGTTTATACATGTTTTACTAAGTCTATAAAAATATTTCACAAAGTTTCAAAAGTTGGTTTATGTCAAAACATCAAAATTCAAGTATCTCATATTTTCATGTTTTGGACTAGTTTGTAAAATGATGATATTTTTCATTTGGGAAGTCCTTTTTGATAACTAGTCATTATAGCATGTTTATTATCATGTCTACAATCATTCTCCAAAGTTTTATATTTTTTGGAATTTATTTGATATTTTTAAACAGTGTTTTATGCTTGGGGTTGTTGGCTGAGGTTTTGGAGGTTATAAATACCCTCCTTGATCTCAGTTATTATAGCTAAGAAAAGTTTTTAAACAAGGGTTTAAGGTTTTTACTGTTTGTTTATGTTTGGGTTTCTGTTTACAAAGGAGGAAGTTTTCACTGTAGATTGAGGGATTCATTCTCAATCCTCTTCATCCTCTTCTTTGTGTTTATAGAGAAGTTTTCTAACTCTTTTCCCTAGCAATTTCATTATTGATTTATCATATATTAATTATTGCTAGTTTGCTATTTAAGTTAGATTTCATTTTACTCATTGTTACACACACCCACATTGAGCTTTTAGTATTTACATACATAGTATAGTTGGGTGGTGAGAGTTTGTAACTTTGAGTTGTGCTTAATTGAGTTCTCACCTATTGTAGAGAACAAATTTATATTGGTTACATTGTGAGTGTTGTTAGGTTTTCGGTGAGCTAGAAACCGAGTGTGTTGTGAAGTTTTCGGTGAACTAGAAAACCGAGTGTGAGGAGTGAACGTTGTTCGGTGAGCGTTGAAAACCGACATAGTGTGGTTGTAAACGTTATTCGGGTGAGCGTAGAAAACCCGGTTGTGATAGTGGATTTCTCCCCGGGAGTGGGGAGCGGAGACGTAGGACGGAAGGTCCGAACTCCGTGATCATATCTTGTGTTTGAGTGTGCTTTGGCGTTTATTTATACTTGTGTTTATAATTCTTGTTGCCATTGTCATTAGCTCATTATTTATATGATCCACTATCTAGTTCATATTGTTTACCCTTGT